TCGTTGGGTAGAAATTGGAAGGATAACATTAATGACCAACCTACCTATTTATTTCCTTTCCACCTTTAAATTCCAATCAAGGTGGCAAAGAAATTAGAAAAATACATGAGGGACTTTCTTTGGGAACCGGGTGAGGAAAGAAAAGACCATCTCGTCAAGTGGCAAATGGTGTCTAGGGCTAAAGATCAAGGTGGATTGGGGATATGAAATTTGATTTATAGGAATACTACTTTGCTTGGTAAATGGTTGTGGCACTTAACATTAGAAAGGGACAGGCTCTGTCATTAGGTTATTAGGAGTTTTCATTATGCTTCGGACAATGGCTAGGATGCTACGGTAGCTTCTTCTTCAAAAAGCTCCCCTGGAAATCTATCTGTAGGGTACTTCCTTTTTAAGACTTATCAAGTATGATGTGGGTAGTGAGGATAATTTTTTATTCCAGGAATACCTCTAGTTGGTGGACGGACAATTCCACTCTCCAAAAACAATTTCCCTTGTTATATTCATTGTCAATTTATAACATGGAACCCATTTCTAAATTTTAACTTGCATCCTTGACTAGCTTCGGTTGGGATTTTGGGTTTAGAAGAGAATGAATGTGATTCCAAATTTTCCTCTTGGACAATCTTGACTCTATTTTCTTGGACAGTCAGGCTAGTGACAGTAGGATTTGGTCAACATCTCCCACTAGTCTATTTTCCTAGGCCTCTTTTTTCAGCTCTTCTGGGGTATTCTAATAGTCTAGGGATGAACTTTCCGCTGAAAGAAATTTGGAGTAGACCTGTCATTCCTAGGATTCAAGCCTTCTGTTAGAAAGTGGTTTTGAGAAAAGATCAATACCCATGACATGCTACAAAAAAGGAGGCCTTTTATGTACCTTTCCCCTCATATATGCTGTCTTTGCAAAGCAAGTGGTGAGCCTATTCCTCACTTACTAATCTCTTATACCTTTGTGAATTGTGTTTGATTGGAGCTGTGCTCTCTCTTTGGGTGCAGGTGGGAGGCTCCTCAAGATGTGGCTGGTTTGTTTACCCCAAACTTCCCACGACAGCCTTATAAAATGGGCAAAATCTTGTGGAGGGCAGCAGGGGCAGCAGTACTATGGGCAATATGGGAAGAGAGGAATGGAAGAATTTTCAAGGAAAAAAGCAAAACAGTAGGAGATATAGTGGACAGTGTAAAAACAAGGTTGCTAACTGGGTAAAAACAATGAAAGCTTTCAAACAATTTCATGTGAAAGAAATAATGAGAACTTGGGGGAAAGTGACTACCTCTTCTAAGATAAAAGATAAGGCTGTGATGGAATGAAAACCACAGACAATTCAAGAAATGAAGCTAAATTTTGATGGAAGTTCATTTGATAACCCAAGTCTGGTAGGAACTGGAGGTATTTTTAGAGATTAAACAGGATCAATCAAAGCTTTATATTCTGGACCTATTGGAATTGGTGATTCTATCAAAGCAGAAATAATGGCACTGCTACAAGGCTACAGGATAGCCAAGCAGCTAGGAATCCAACATTTAGAGGTGGAGGAGTATTCTAAAGTGGTCATATCTTGGTTAACCAGAGATATTACTGGAGTTTGGGTTTATAGGCTTGCTATAAGGGAAATCAATTCATTCACTAACAAGGTGGGAGCTACTTTTAAAGTTTTAATTGGATTAGGAGAACAGCAAATGGGATGGCAGATTGTTTGACAAAGCAAGGGTCCCATCCTTTGTACTCAATTTATTATTTTATTTCATCATTAATTAATGAAATTTATGTTTATTATCCAAAAAAATGAACGATACAAGAAAGGTGAACAAAACTCACCCGGAAGAAGAAAGATAATAAAAACTCCAACAAACTCAAAAGATCTCGTAAACATATTCATCAGCTACTACAGAATCTCCCACTCAAACGATAATAAGAAAAAGAAAATCGCGTCCCCATCAAAATTGCAAACACCAGTAACCACACCCTAAGAAACTGCAAAAGATCAAAGTTCAAAAAACAAGACTCCAAAACAAAAGAAATTCAACTTCATTATTTAGCTCTTTTAGCTGTTTGAATGGGAAACTCAGTATTCTTGGAACAGTTCTTGGATATCTTCACCTTTTTGACAGAACCCATTCCAAAAAGGCACCCTTTCAGTCTTGCATAAACTTTAGAGACCCGCACCATTTGACAATTTTTCTGCCACCTAAAACACCTTAGCCGTGCAGTGTTTTAAAAGCACAAGGCGCAAAAAAGGTGCAGGTGTCAATTTGCACCTGAGGTGCAAGGCGCAAGGTGAGGCATGCGCCTTTTTTGAAGCAAGGCACAAAAATACAAAAAAAAATGCCAGAAAATTCAAAAAAAAATGCCAAAAAATTCAAAAAATATTAAACATAATATTACTAAAAAATATAAAGTTAAATTTTAAAATAATGTTTTAAAAAACCTATTATCTAAATTTAAAATACATAAACTTCAAAAAAAATGCCAAAAAATTCAAAAAATATTAAACATAATATTACTAAAAAATATAAAGTTAAATTTTAAAATAATGTTTTAAAAAACCTATTATCTAAATTTAAAATACATAAACATAAGATGTAAAGCATATTCAAATGAGAATTTAAAAATAAAATCAAACATATAAAACATTTTCAAGCATGTAAAACCTCTAATCTCTTTTTTCACTCAATTGCAGTACTTCACATAGCTAATGTAATGTAAAACATATTACATTCCTGATTCTACGAGCCGCCTTTGTGCCACGCCCCTCAAGGCAAGCCCAAACAAGTCCACATTAGGTCTTAAATCCTTAGTTTTCACATAAAAAATAATGACTTTTTAGTTTTAATTGCTTTTTAAGAAGACATTTTATTAGGATGAATGAATGAACAAACACTGGCTCACAAACATTTCTTCTCTTCCACCAAAAACAAGCATTCCTCTGTAGAATTATCTTCTGCCTCTGACCAAATGTGAGAACCTGAAATAGCTTCAACCAGTTCTCTCTCTACCCCCAAATTCAGGCCCTCATTTTTTATCAGCTTCACCTTTCAAACACTCCCAACTCCAACTGCTACATCATTGCCTCCCTTTTCTTCAATGATTGAAATCTCTATCGCTTTCTCCAGATCAGCCACTTTTCCATCCCTGTTACCTTTACCTTCCTCAACCGAACCTGCCTCCCTGTTGTTGAATCTGTTAACTTTACCTTTGTCGTCTCTGTTCTTCCTTGGTTCTCCCTTCAATTGGCCTGAAACTTCTCCTTTAGGTTCATGCAACACCTTTTTCTAAGGCTAAATTTGAATCATCCCCCTTGCCTCCTCTTTTATTTTTTTGAAAAAAGGGTAAAGTATGATTGCATTAATATAAGGTCCTGTGTGCAATGAGAAGCTGTACAAAATGAAGGACCTCAAAAAAAGGCCATCTTCAAAAATGTATAATCAGAAATACTAACTCTAAAAACAGTATGTATAGACATCCAACTTCTCAAAGCCTCTATTGCCAAGTTAATGACCTCGGCTTCAGTAGTTGTTCCTTTCTGACCACACAGCCCACAGAACTGCCGTAGGGATGGAAGTCCAGCATAAATTTCCTTTCTTAGACAGCCCCTGGATATGCCACTCCTCTAGCAGAGCTCTTTACTGAGGCTGGCATGCACCAGCTTAGATTCAGGGAATTGAAGAAGTGTGACCAAACTGCAGAACTAAACTTGCAATGAAGGAAGAGATGCCTGATGATTCTACTTGCATATTGCAAAAACAGCACCTCCAATCTGACAGATTAAGACCTTTTTCAGCAGCATTTCTTCGGACAAACACCTCTCCAGAGCTGCCACCCATACAAAAAACTTGACTTTTGGAAAAGCCAAATTCCCCCAAACAGCACCTCCAGAGCTGCCACCTCTTGGAACAGATTAAGAAAATCTGTCTCCTCTCATGGCCCATAATTTCGGCCCAATGTCTAAACTCATATTAGACCACTACTAACAATGTGCCCCACTAAATGTCTCTCAAAGATCTACCCCGTAAAGATATTCAGAACATCCCAAAAAACCAAGTTAATGGCATTAGGCCCACTTGCCTCACTTTTACTCATCTTCTCAACATGTAACAGACCATCAGAAGGATCACCAGCCACACTGCCACCTTAGACAAAAAAATCTTCAAAATTTACAAGATTGCCATCATCTTCATCAACCTCCTCCCCACCCTGGGCCTTACTGGGCCTACTATAGTTGCTGTTACTAATGCTGTTATTGTTTATTAAGGAGTGTGTTGCGAGGCAGGGGCATAGATGTCATTGTAGATCTTGTTATAATAGAAACCTATAAATACTAAATCTGGGCGGCAGAAACTGATTGAGATCTGCTCCATTTCTCTTCTCATTCTTCTTCTATTCTCTTCCCTTCTCTTCCTCTCTTCTTTCTTCTGCTTTCTTCTGGTTTTCTCTTATTTCTCTTTTGGTTTTCTTGCTGAAACTACATCAGAATACTGATCAACTGTGAACAGCACCAGCCATCTTTATGCATGGGGAGATGTTCCCAATGCACGGATGTAGTGTTTTGTGGGTAGGTGTGGGTAGAGTTTTTGTGGGTAGGACATCCAGAGTCATAATAAACATCAAAGCACAGAGGGACAGATTGCACATTATCTGTCTCAACTTTCAATTAGAATTTTTGCACATTGCAGGTCTTCCCAGAGCCTATTTCAAACACCATATCTTTTGACAATACCACAAGAATTTACAATTACCAAGCCTGAGTACTCCAGACGTGGAGAGGGATCCCATAAATGTTAATCGAAATGAAAGAGAGAGGAATACGAAAGGTAGCCTAATTTAGAAAGCCAACCCCAACACTAAAAATTCAACAAGCCGAAATTTTTGTGTTTTTCAGGCTCAATTTCAATGAAATGAGAAGCATGAAATACAAATAAACAACATGGGAAAGATATAAAAACAATGCAATGGATAAATACATTTTAATAAGTAGAATGACAGATAACTATCAGTATAGCACCTGATAACTTGGACTTGAGCCTTTATAACAAGTGTGTCAGCAACAATGAACCCGTCCAACACTTTTGACAACTCCATAAATTTTTTCCACCCCCAATCATGCTCTTTCTTCCAGAACCGATGCAAGGTATCTGCCAAATTTCCAATTGTCAACCTAGAAGAATTAAAAACAAGCCAACCTGCTTTGGAAATAGAAAAGCAACTGACCAGAATATTTAGATTTCTTAGGATCTTTATTCACAACAGCTATTGTAAACTGTGCAAAATGGCTCCATCCTGTCTCCGAAAAAGAACATCAGCTACCAAGAACCAACAATAATGATTATTTACAGTTAGAAATCACGAAACATGGACTAACCACAAACCTGGAAGAAGCTTCTCATGATTAGCAACACAAAGAAACAAAGAGAGATGATTGCAAACATCACATCCTTGTGGGTATATTAAAATGTACCTGTAACGCAAGTATGAAAACACTTGATCAAAGTTAACATTTTTTTCCTTTGTTTTTTGTGATATAAACTGCAATCATGTGCATTCACTACATATGTCAATAATGAATTTATCATGCTTAATCCTCCGTAAGAATTTAAACTAATTAAAGAAGCAAAAAAAAGGTGCATCACATAAGCCAAATAAAGTTTAAGTCCTATACCACTTGTAGCCACCAACTTCAAATGCATTACTCCGAAGTTCCCTTTTGCTAATCTGTGAAAAGTTCTCTATCTTCCATGTAAACTTTCCATATAGTTCAGAGGGTTTTGGGCCTAAATAAAAGCCATTCAAGATTAGGAAGAATTTAAACACATCAAAGTGCATAATTTAATAAAGAAGGAGCAGAGTAGATCAGTAGAGAATGTTATATCCAGGGATAGGGCAAGGTGCCTTTTGTGTGTGTGTGTGTGTATGTGTTTGGGGGGTGGGAGGACTATAGGATGGAGACCACATCCTACCACCCCCAATACGCATAAAGGGTGTTTCCACTTTTCAAAACCTCCAGGGTTGCCCTTGCATAAATTTTACCAGGAAAATGATGTGAATTTGCATGTACCAATACGTAATAACCAAAAAAATGATAAAATATACAATAAAAGAAGTATGAATAGAAAGAAGAGAACGAAGTCAATGCACTTTTATCCTCTGCAAGAGGAGAACAGAAAGGAAAGACCAGCAAAGAAAAAGAGACATTGCCTTCTTCATCCAGCCTAGGACCAACGACTTCTTCCATATTGGTTAAGATGTTTGTATGTATTAACCCAACAACAATAATAATAACAATTAAACCAAACTTGCACATTAACAATGCTATGGTGCTTGTATCCATGACTCCTGTACAGTAGCAAGAGATCATCTCGCATATCAACACCGTAAAATGAGATATGCAAATGCAAAATCATCCTATAATACTACTAGAGTAAACAAGACACTTGAGGCTTTGGCGTGCTTAGGAGTTTAAAAGTCATTACCCAATGTTCGTCCCAGCTATCTGGGGTGGACTGGATACAGACCTAACCTCCAGCATTTTCTAGCATAAAGTGGCTGCTCTCAGACTCGAAAACGCATTCTCATGTTTGTCAGCCAAAGGTTTAAGCAGTACACCAAGCAATGGATTTTTTTGAACAAGGTATTGTATTAAATATCAAAAAACGATATACACCCCCAAATCCACAAAGCAATGGCTCACCAAGAGGCACCACAAATTGGAATGTTTTTAAACCACAACAGATTGTATCTCATCACTCAGTCAATTGCTTATACTAGCTTTCAATTATGCAGGTTAAAATAAGTCACTAGGAATTCCTCTCCTTTACCTGTGCTTGTTTCCATGTAAAAGAAGCAGAAAACAAAGCTTACGCTGTAAAGTGCAAAACATCATAACTGAAGTTTTACAATTGAAAATTCATCAAAAAAAAAAGTTTTACAAATGAAAATTCTCCACCCCTTATATAGTGAAATAAACAAAGCCTTACAACTCTCAATTATGAAAAGCATGGCAATCCTCCAATGGGCATACTATTTCTATTTTTAAGATGTTGACTTAACCCAAATACAGGGAATTTTGATTTTTTTTGGCTTATGTAACACATTAAACAGCATCTCAAGGGGCAAAAATGCTGCAAGGTGCACATATGTTGCCTTCCCTAAGGCAAAGCATAATAGAAAGAAGTGTGGTCCAGGTGAAGGTGTGTTTATATAATATATACCTTGATAATTTTCCTTTTTATTACATTTTCTAATTGGTAACAGTTAACTTTAATAATTTTGAACAAAAGAATTCTATGCAAGCATTAACCCTTAATTTGGCCTAACACAGCCCCCCAACCCTTTCAGCTATGACTATTTCTTTACTTTGATCTTACAATTCTCCACCTTGGGACGACACTACCCAATACACTTGGTTCCTTATTATACCTTTGTCTTGCTAGTGATTCAGCCACACTACTGGCTGAACATGGGGTCCATTTATGTTACTCCCAATAGTTTTGCCATTTCCTTAATGTCCCTTAACTCATGTCTGTAGTGTAAAGATCCCATCTAATCATTTAGCAGCCAGCCCACCACCACATGCAAGTCACCCTCTACTGTTAGATTCCTGAAATTCAGTCCTTTGGCCAAACTTAAACTTTGTTGAAGAACAGCCTTCAATTGCTCCCTAATAGTATCTCATTATCTCCAGACCCTATAGGACCAGAAAAAAGCAAAAAAGTGACCTTCGTTATCTCTAAAAATACCCCCAACTACAGAGTTACCTGGAATACCAATACTGTAGCCATTAAAGTTTAGTTTAATCCTCCTCTGATCAGGGTGATCCCATTCAACAATAAAAGTTTAAGGAATTTGCAATGCCTTGCCAATTCCTGACAATGACTAGGTTAATGTAATCAGCAAAAGCATCCAATATCTTAACCAAATGAGACACCTCAATAGAGACATTCTTTATCAAAGCTTCCTCTGGTAGCTTCTCCTTAAACATTCCTGCATTTCTTTCCTTCCAAATACTCCAAAGAGTGGCTGCTCTCATACATCGCAGCAGAACCTTATCTCCCCTTGGAAGGAAGAAAAAAGAGCTGTTCAACAGGCTTAAAATTTCATTAGGAGCTTCCCATCTGCAACCAAAAGGGGGAAAGAAATACTACCATATGCCCAGATGCATTAGAACAGGAGAGGAGAGTAGTAGGTGATGTGTAGTTTCACAACTTGCCCAACAAAAAATATGTGCTAGGTGAAAGACAAGCAAAAGGTCCGAAAACAGACCCACCCAGCTGTATTACAGCCTATATTATAACTGAGCCCAGTACATATGTTGTCTTTGAACTCCTTGTTTTGCTAATCCATGTTCTAAACAATTAGCAGATCTCCTAATCCACTTGATTTGAATTGCCATATCTCTTGAAAGCCATTTGAAACGTCTGAATTCATTCCTAAGCTTCCAAATAACCCTGTCACCTTTCTTTAACCACCTCACTACCAGCTCCAAACCACCTTCAAGAACCAATCTTCCAATTCCCATATTTCTAGCCATCTTTACCCCAAATACTTTAGCAAAAAATTCTGCACTTACAGACTCACCTTGCTCAATTGAACCTGAAAACAAAGCATGTATAGTGCCACCCTCATCTCTGACCACCCCTCCAATTCCTGACAGACCTGAATTGCTCAGACTACTATCATCAAAGTTCAATTTCAACCACCCACCCATTGGGGGAGACCACACCAATTTTGAAGTTTATTTTCTGCATAAGAGTAGATTTACTTCTTATAACTAGATGCTTTAGCATATATTTAGTTCCTCAATGACTCATTACCCCTTCTGATATGAGAAAATGGATGTAACCATGCATCTCATAAAACTATAAATTGGTTAATGACCTCGAAATTTTGTTGGTTCTTGCACATGATTTAGTAGCTTGAAATGAAGTTGAATATGCAATCTCTGGATGCAACCTGATGGCCATTTCCTCTTTTCTCCCCATCAGAGGTGATAGAACCATCCATTCAATAATGGATCCCCAAAAGGTTATACACTTACACTGTCTCTGACACAGGAATGTCCTCATGCACAGAAAAGGACTTATCCAAAGTTTGGATTTGATTAGAAGGCTTATCTGGAAAATGTACAGCAACAAATTTTGAGGCCATTTTGTGGTTATTTTGCACATGAACCTTTGTTTCACAAGGCAAGCTATATGTCTCTAGAAAGCTCTTAGAGCCGACTTTCCAATGCAACAAACTGAGCATGATTTGGAGTCCTACGCAAAGCTATGACCATTTTCTTTTGAAGGGTGCAGTGCTGATTGTTGGATTCCAGAAATGATTAACTCTGAGTCTTTTGAATCTCTATGTCTTTTCTACTTTCAATGTCTTGACTTCTCTGGAATAGTTCATGAATCTTGTTATTTTTAATTCACTGTAAGTAGTTTTCTTATTAATTACTCAGTTTAGGGGGGTTGTTCCAAGCAAGTCTATATAACCCTCTAGTCCTACAAAACAAAGAGATCAGAATTTTGAGTTGAATAAAATTGAACCTTTCAGTTTATTAAGAAGGAGCTCATGTATCTTGGATTATCTCTTGTGTCCCTCTCCTTAACTCCATTGTGGTGTTTTTGGCATTAGTCTCCTCCTACTTGGAATATCCCAATGACAACCTTCTTTGCTAAAAAATTCATAGAAGATATCCATTCCAGTTGTACTGTCTGGAGTACTCAAGACAGGTCATGATAAGATAATCCCTACACATGCACATAAAAGAAAACGAAGTGTCCTGATGCATCCATTATGCAACAGTCCAAAGGTAAAATGATCCCACTTTCAGTTAAAACTTTAAATTATACCTCAAACATGTCAACTGCAACCTCCTTTATCACAGTAAGCCAGTTCTTCACCATACTAATAGCCATAGGCATTTACTAAGGCCATTCAAAGGTGATGTCAGCAAGACTTTTTCACACCACCATACACCAGATCATGAAAATGAAATTCTGACAAGAAAGTGTTGGACAGACAACTCTTCACGCACAGCACATGTCTGGGTAAAACTCAGTATATAGAGCCTCTTCCAAAAAACCTTCTCCATAATTGCAGTTTCACAATTAAAAACAATCCTAGTTCTCTTAGCATAGAAAGTTGATAATATCCTATGCATTAGTCAGCAGGCAGAAACACAATCTCTCATGGAGGAAAAATTAATTATGCCACTGTCAAGTTTGTAATTTCCTTTCAAGAACTCAATGAGCTTACAAACCACTAGAAGCCATTAATACATGGCAGCATAACACTATCTTTTTCTAATCATTTCCATTTAGGTAGCTTAGTTACCAGCTCTATAAAACATGCATAACAACTGATTGCTAACACATAAAAAGGACAGAAACCTAACTGGGGAAAAGGAAGGAGAAGCAAGAACTATTAGCAAATCGAAGTACCAATTCATAAGGCATGTAAGTAGCATACCACAATCATCATCATCGTCAGTGTCCCAGTATGGTGGTGAAGTAGATGGGGTTCCATTCTCCACCTGCTCAGATGACCGCCATTCTGCAAGTGCTTCCCCAGATTGGCAACGCTGCCCACTTGAGATCCCCTCCGAAGACCTCCCAACCCCACAATCATCGCTCACACTCCCAGCCATAATCCACTCCACCAATTTTCCCTTGGCGCTCCTTCACCTGCACCAAGCAAGAGTTAACAATCTAGATAAGGAAGTAACTATTGCCGCCTCAGGCCCTCAACTCCAACAGACCGATTGGCGAGCCAAATTTCACGAACAACATAGTATATTAAAAGTCATCCCGTTCATACCGGCTAATAACACAACTTGTAGAACACAAGAACAATTCGAAAATCCCAATCTGTAGGAAAATTAGGAGCACGAACCATCCCCATTTCCCAAATAAATACATCTTCTCGATAAAACTATTACGTCTCCAACATTTCCCTTTAACGAATTCAGACACTAAAGCCGAAAGTAAATAAAAAAATTAAAGTTCTGAATAAGAAAACCTGCGACCCCATCCATCACAGCTCCCATGAACAAAAGCCTAACATCAAAAACAATATCGAAATAAACCCTAAAATAGAAAAAAGTCACGACAAAGGAAATACTGAGACAAAATACCAAAATTCCCAAAAAAAAAAAAAATCCTGAACGGAGGAACCCACATACAGTGCAACAGAAAGCCAATTCCACGAAACCCAAATCGAATAACACATAAAGATGCCCAGGCAGAAAAAAAGAAAACGCAGAAGGAATCGGATAAACCCTAATCGAGGCAAACCCAACTGCAAAAATCCACAATAGGAGAAAGCTGCAGAAGAATCGAAATGAATAGCAATAAAAAAGTGAAGTCCTGGAGATCGAATCAAATACCTCTAACGATGAACGAAGTTCGTCAACAGTGAAAAGAAGCCGTTTTCCCCCCCATCGCAAGGCGTACAGAACATAGAAGAGAGAAGAAATTGGAGTCGGAAAGGGCAGAAGCAGAGCGCAGGCTCATAAAAATTTTTTATTAACAATAAGGAGATGAAGATATGAGAATTGAGAAGTTGAGAACAAGGGCTCCTCTCTCTCTCTCTCCCCTATTCTCTCTACAAAAGTACAAAATCACGAATTCCGCTTCGCCAAAGCAAAAATAAATAAAAACACAAACATTTTATTTAATTAAAATATTTTAGAAAGAATATCATTATCTGTTAAATTATAAACAAAATAATTAATAGCTACCACTCACTAGTGAGTAGTGACTATTGACTCCCCTTGCTTTGCATGTCCTCTATTTATAATTTACTAGACAACATAATGATCATTTTTTTCAGAAATGACTCACACGTTCTTATCATCTTCACCGTTAATTTTGTGGGTCCCATTTAGGTCGTTATCATGGATAGCTTTCAGCCATCTGATGTGTCAATTATTTTTAGAATTATGATAGTAGCTTATGTTATCCAGAGTTTAACAGAGATCTTGACTATCTACTCCAGGATTGGACCCATTTCATAGTGGGCCTGATCTCATTTATCTTAACACGTGGCAGCTTAAGACCGCACCTTGTTTGCTGTTAATGATAAGGACGCTCTCATTGTAGATTGCCTCTTGAGTCCTGAGTTTGGTCTAATGTATCGTGTGGCGGAAATTTCGGGATCGCGATGCATTTTTGTTCATCTTGAGCCTTTGAATGAGTTCAGATCTTCTCCCAACTCTGTCCCAACAAGCTATTGCAGCCAACATCTGGAACATCTTCCATTAATGTTTTCCAATGTGCGGCTGTAGTGGTTTGTTGGGACAGTGTTTGGAGTGATAATTGGTAGCAGATTCCTACCTCTTTGAATGGTTACTGAAGAACTCCAATTAGCTTCCAATACACAATTCCAACAACGTTCCAACCTCTCATTGCAGCTGTATATCGGGAACATCTTCCGAGATGATCCCAATGTGCAGCGGCAATGGCATGTTGGAACACCGTTGAGAGCATTTTATTGGTAGCAGATCCCTATACGCTTTTGAGTGTTAGGACGTAAATCCCTATCCACTTAGATGGTTAACAACTTAACATTAAGGCTATGTTTGATTTAAAGGAATAAGTAGGGAAAGAAAGGAAAATGTAGGGAAACCTTTACAAACCTTGTATAGGTTTCCTTGGCTTTCCCTTCCTTTCCCTACTTTTCCTTCCAACCAAACACAGCTTAAGAGATGTGCGAATTGTGGTTGTATTAGCGGTACATTAGGAGCATCTCCCCTAATTGTTTGTTATCATTCATATGGTAGATATTCTCCATACACAGTGGGATGTGTATATGAGGTCAATGTGAGGAACGTTCTGTAAGGAACATATCCCAATTCAGTTTTCGTACAAGAGTTAATGCCCCACAACATATTCCAATCATGTGTAATGGAAATATATCCTAGTGATAAGCATGACTCAGCACATCCCAATGCACGCTAAGATGTTCTTGGCACAAAGCTATGAAACGTTGGAATTTCTGGGAAGGAGAGAACTAGAGAAAGGAGCTTGGATTTTTTGTCTAGGTGGATGATAGATAGGTATTAATCGTCCACGATTGTACTCATAGTATCATTATAGGCCACATTGTCATTGAAAAATAGGGCCCATTTATCATGATGACGTGGCTTTATCAAAATTAGTCCAATACTTTTGAAATCAGATTCAGCCAGTGCAAAGCCTGTTTGAACGCCCTTTATAGCCTTGCATTGGGAATATCTCCCCATCAAATAAAGCATAGAAATGCGGAGATGTTCTCGATGCAAGGCTAAAAGGTTGTTCAAACGGGTCTTGCACTGACTGAAGCCAATCTCAATACTTCCCAACTCCCTAGAAGATTCACACGATAAGAAATTCCATTGGCAGGCACCGAAATGACACTGTACTTAATTGTGGAATTGATCACATGCATCTAAGTTTGTAGTCTTATGGTAGTTTGGATGGTAATTAAAGTGGATCGTCCAAATATGGACCTTTTTTCGTGTCCCACATCATCGAGTTAGTGGGCCTATCTTATACGGATCAGCCAAAGTTGAGATCTTCTACCAACAAAACATCTTCTAACCCTCTATCAATTTGATCTAACAACACACATCTCACTATGAGACTGGGACCCGACATGTATGAGATGTATGGTGTGAGATTATGTTGGTAGAGGGTTGGAAGGTGTCTTGTTGGTAGGTGATTTGGACTCGAATGGACAATCTTTTTCTTTTTTGGGTGAATGGACAATCCCATAACCATACTTCACACGAGATATAGGGATGTTAGAAGGCTGGGTTGTTAGGATTGGATCAGTTTTAATAGGTTAATTAGTGCCAACCTCGCCCCGTTGATGTGGTAGTATTTAGATGTCTTGGCTAAGCATAGAGTTACTAGTTGTAGGATGAGGCTCGGTAGGTTTCAAACTAAGCAAAGCCCATACCGAACCCAACCCATTAACATCCAGACAAACCTTTTGGCACCTTGGATGGTTTATGGTCTATGGGTGAATGTTCAACAGTTCAAGGGATCTTTCATTTTTTTAGATACTTATGTTATGGTTTGTCCAAACCAAAGGGTCCTTAAGTTCCAATAGGCTCCATTTTACAAATTTCTAGTGCAAATGCATGGAGGTACAAGTGTATTGAGTATAAATTATAATTTACTTTTGCTTTAGATTTGACTTTGTTAGTGAGGAGAAAGGGAAATAAAGTAATGTGGCCTCTACTTTTCTACAAAGGAGATGTAGAATGGAGAGTTGTCTCATTGGGAGAAGTGAAATAAGAAGCATAATGATAAGATCCCCACTTAATATAAGAAAGACAATCAAAGTAGGAGGAAGGTAGTAATGAAAATTTTGCATAATTTTGGATGCAAGATTTGCATTGAAAATTAGTGCAAATGAGTAATTTATATGAAATGGGAGTATAAATCATAGTCATCAACAAATTGATGCAAATGTGAATCACGTGCAAAATTTGTATTGGGTTTAGATTTGCACTACAAACCAACAAAGGCAAAGTGTTGAAGATGAGAAGAAACACGTTGGAGAAAGGTTCCAAGTGGCTCAATTGTAAGGTCTTTGACTGGTTGTAGCAAAGACTTGGGATCAAATCCTGCCTCTACTAGGGTTAGGGGTTATAGGTTTTGGGATGGGTTAGCCATTTTGTGAAATCCCATGGAATACACACACACACACACACAGAGAGAGAGAGAGAGAGAGAAGTCCCCAATTTGCATGATGTGCAACAATGTGTAAGACATATAATCAACAATAAGGGTTCATTTGGTTCACAGTCGGAATTAAAATCGGAATCAGAATCAAGATCCTTTGGAACCAAAATCGGAATGGTCTATTCCCATAGTCTATTTGGTTCAAATAGGAATAGGATTTCATTCCCAAGGGAGGTGGAGAGAATGACCATTCCCTCATATGGGGGAATACCATTCCACCAAGAATGGGAATGGGATTCCAATTCCACCAAACCAAACAGTTGGAATCAGAATAGCCCATTATGATTCCGATTCCAAACTTCTATTTTCATGAACCAAATAGGACCTAAGTGTAATAGTGTAAAGACTCATATATGTTTATGATGCCAAAGGGGTATGATACCAGAATAACTTTGACCAATCAAACCTAGTTTGTTGGTTATATATATATATATATATATATATATATATTTTGTGGATATCATGCGTTTCCAATATCATAGTCAGACTCATTTGAGAGTAACTGAACTTTACACACAAGTCCTAGATATTTGCTTCATATTAATTGTTTGTACACCACAAATTTTAGTCATTTTGGACTTGAATTTGACCATGATGGTAAGGTTGCATTTGAATCAAGTAACATGCATTTTGATGATAAAATTGGAATTGTCAATTCTATGAATCTCTATGCTTCATTGGTTGGGTTCATATTATAGAACAACAGAAGGACTTTTAGCTTTCTAATTTCAAGTTATTTGTTCATCTCCCATGGTATTTGATGAAGGCCCTTAGACTCTGTTTGTGTTGTAAATCTGAACCAATGGACCACTACCCGTATGGTTTAGCTAATTGACTAATTCTACCCTTATTGTTTATATTTTGTCTTAATGTAGTCCTATTGTTTTTGACAATTGACATCATCGTTAAGTGCTAATGGAAAAATGAAATGTCAAATTTGCCCTCTATTATTCCTCAAAATTTCAAAATAAAACCTAACTGATGAAAATTTTTAGTAACCCTTCCTCTTTTTTATTCTTCTTATTAACGTAATATTTATTCATTTTTGCTACCTCTAACCACTAAAAAAGAAATGGATTTCACTTGCCGACAAGTTGATAATACTTCCTGGATCTAACCCAAATAAAATTGAAAATAGGCATACAAAATTTAGATTCAAACAATACACCTAAACTAAAACCAAACTAAAAAGCCAGATCTGAAGCAGACTAAAATGAGATTAAACAAATAACAACACTACCAGCAATGTCCGTCAGAGCAAAAGATTGATTTTAGAAAAAATAAAGACATCATTATCGGTAATATCCATCTAAGCATGAAATAGGTTTTTGGGGAGAAAAATAAAGACAGTATTATCAACAACATTCATCAGAGTATGAAATTGGTTTTGGGAAGAAAAACAGAGTCAGCAACGGTCTAATCTTTTGAGATTAACATATATGTGTTAAATCTACATGCTATTGAAACATAAGAGGAAGCAATAGACGGATTGGGTTAGGGTCAAAAGCCTACAGGGTTCAGTTTGACAGAATTACACTCGTCAATTTTCTTCCCCAACCTTAGATCCCAATCACAACAATGATGTGGAGAAGCTAATCCAAGAAAAACAAATGAAAGAAAAAATGAAACTAGGCAACACTAGAACTTACCTAAGTTATATTCTGACCAATTGTGTGATGTTGTAATAGGGAGGCTCTAGCATGTTCAATTCTACTCAAATGATGACTAAAGAGATAAAACAGATGATTGGTACTTGGTTAGGGATGCCAGAAATGGCAACTGAAAAGGATGAGGAAGGGGAGAGGGATGATGAAAATGTAATTGGAAGTTGTGGAAAAGAAAATCATTCATACAGAAATGCAAAAAAGAAAATGGCTGACTAGTTGATTTTAAACCCACTGG